GGGGGGCTCGGAGGGCTCGGGGGGTTCGGGGGGCGGTGGCACCGGGGCTCAGAGAGGCTCCGGGCCCCAGGCTGGCAGCGGGGTGAGCCCGGGGGGCAGCAGGGCCAGGGGGAGGCTCTCCAGGGGCTGCCAGGGCGATGGAGCGGGGCTCCCACCGGGAACCGAACCTGCGGGAAGGACACGGGGCTCGGGCGGCGTCCCCGGGACCCCCAGCCCCAGAAGCCCGGGGGTCCCGCACCCGGCCCCTCGTACCGCAGCAAGCCTCGTCCCAGGCGCAGGGGCCGGAGGCGCAGAGGTGCAGCGGGGCCGGGGGCCGCGGGTGCGGGGCGAGGCCGCGGAGGGGCCGCGCAGAGCCCGAGGGGGGGTCCGGGAGGGGCTGCGGGGGGACCAGAGGGTCACAGGTCATCCCTGGGGTGCTCCGGGACCTCCGGCAGAGGGTCCGGGGCTCCAGCGGGTGCCGGGGCGTCCCCAGCAGCCGGGACCGGCCGTGTCCTACCCGGGCGGCCGCGGCACCGAGAGCGGCCGGGGTCCAGTGGCACCAGGAGCCTGCGTGGGCACAGGAGGGGACAATGTCCTGGCTCACCGGTGGGGCAGCGGCCGTGTCCTTGCCCAGCTCCCAGCCCCAAATTTCAGCCGCGCTCCCTCCCAGGGCCACCCCCGGGTGTCCCCTCGGTCCCCGGGCTGTCACCTGCGCCGCCGGGCTCCGGCTGCTGCTGCTCGTTCTCCCGGCGCCACTTGGCTCGGCGGTTGGAGAACCAAACCTGGGGAGAGCCGGGAGCTGAGGCCGCCCCCCGCCCGTCCCACACGGGCCTGGCACAGCCGCGAGCCCCGGGACACCCCGGGAGTGACCGGGGACACCCCGGGAGTGACCGGGAACACCCCAGGAGTGACCAGGGACACCCCGGGACACCCCAGGAGTGACCAGGGACACCCCGGGAGTGACCAGGGACACCCCGGGACACCCCAGGAGTGACCAGGGACACCCCGGGAGTGACCAGGGACGCCCCGGGAGTGACCGGGGACACCCCGGGACACTCCAGGAGTGACCGGGGACACCCCGAGAGTGACCGGGGACACGTGTGGGACACGGGGAGAGAGAGGGGCTCGGTCCCAGACATGGTCCTGATCCCGAGCGTGGACAGGGACAGGGACAGGGACAGGGACAGGGACAGGGACAGGGACACGGACAGGGACAGGGACAGGGCTGGGGACAGGGACAGGGACAGGGACAGGGACAGGGCACGGCACTCCCCGGGCTGCAGGTGGCTCTCACGGGCAGCGCTGCCCTGGCACCGGGGACCCGCTGCTGGCACTGCCCGGACTGCCGGGGGCTGCCGGGCACCGGGAGGGGCTCGGCAGCGGCACAGGGCGGTGGGGCTGCAGCAGCTGGGGGGAACGTGAGGGGAGTGTGCCGGGGGTGCCAGATGTGTGCTAGATGTGTGCCAGATGTGTGCCAGGTGTGTGCTAGGGGTGCCAGGGGTGCCAGGTGTGTGCCAGCTGTGCCAGGTGTGTCAGGTGTGTGCCAGGGGTTCCAGGTGTGCCAGGGGTGTCAGGGAGTGTGCCAGCTGTGCCAGGTGTGCCAGATGTGTGCCAGGGGTGCCAGGGGTGCCAGGGAGTGGGTCAGGTGTACCAGGTGTGCCAGCTGTGCCAGCTGTGCCAGGGGGCGTGCCAGCTGTGCCAGGTGTGTCAACTGTGCCAGCTGTGCCAGGGAGTGTGTCAGGTGTGCCAGCTGTGTCAGGTGTGCCAGGGAATGTGCCAGAGAATGTGCCAGCTGTGCCAGGGAGAGCCCCCCGATCCCGGGACAATCCCTGCCCTGGGGAGCCCCCCCCCTGTGCGGAGCTGTCCCCACCCCTGTGAGGGTTACGGAGCTGTCCCCGGGGGCAGGAGAGCCCCGGTCCCCCCCGCCCCAGGACCCCTCTCACCCTGACGGTGCTGTCCGGGAGCCGGGTGGCCGCGGCCAGGCTCTCGCGGGTGGCGGTGTCCGGGTACTGTCCCCGCTGGAACTCTGCGGGGGGATCGGGGTCACCCGGGGGGGTCCGGGCAGCCACCCCCGCATCCGGGTAGTGTCTGCAGCCAGAGCCCGGGGCCGGCGAGCTGGGGAGCTCCCGGGAGGTTTGGGGAGCTCCCGGGAGGTTTGGGGAGCTCTGGGGTGGTTTGGGGAGCTCCCGGGAGGTTTGGGGAGCTCTGGGGTGGTTTGAGTTGCTCTGGGGAGCTCTGGGGCGCTCTGGGGTGGTTTGGGGAGCTCCCGGGAGGTTTGGGGAGCTCTGGGGTGGTTTGGGGAGCTCCGGGGAGGTTTGAGGAGGTTTGGAGAGCTCTGGGGTGGTTTGGGGAGCTCTGGGGAGCTCTGGGGAGGTTTGGGGATGTTTGGAGAGCTCTGGGTTTATTTGGGGCTCTCTGGGTTGTTTTGGGGCTCTCTGGGTTGTTTTGGGGCTCTCTGAGTTGCTTTGGGGCCCCGCAGCGATGGCCGGGCCACCCCCAGGGGCAGGAGCCCATCCCGAAAGCGGCAATTCCCAGCCCTGGGAACAGCCCCGCTCCCGTGGGGAGCGCACCTCTCTCCAGAGCCTCCGCCTGCTGCCGGGAGAACACGGTCCTGCTCCTGCTCCCGCTCCTGCTCCTGCTCCCGTTCCTGCTCCCGCTCCCCTCCCGGGGGCTGCCCGGGACCGGGGGGGACGCTGCGGGCACGGGAGGGCGGGGGCTGGAGGCGGAGCCGGTGCCGGGGGCTGCCCGGAGGGGCCGGGAGGGGTCGGGAGGGGTCCGGGCTTTGGGGCGAGGCTCACGCCGTGGCCGCGGGTCCCGGGGCTCGGCCGCCAGCCGGAGGTCGCTGGGCAGGGTCCTGAGCACGCGGTTGATGGAGGAGACCTGGGCAGGGGAGAGGGGATGTGCCGGGAGGGGAGCCGGGGGGACACGAGGGGAGGCGGCGGTCCCGGAGCTGTCTCTGGGATTCTCCGGCCCGGGGCTGATCCCTGCCCGTGATCCCGGAACGCCCGGGACTGACCCAACCTAACGGGGTGATGGGCACGGGGTGTGTCCTGGGGAAGCGCAGCTCTCCCGGCCCACCAGGGACACCTTCACCGAGCCCCCGCCGTGTCCCGGAGAGGCAGCCGGGTTCGGGGGAGGCGCTCGGGGCTCTGCTTCCCCTGGGAAGGAGAGATTTGCCTTCCCCTCCCCGCCTGCTCCAGCTCCGTGTCTCAGCAAGCACCGAGCCCTTCCCTGTGGGTCCTTCCCATTCCCGAGTCCTTCCCACGGACCCGAACCCTTTCCATCACTCCCGGCCCTTCCCGGGATATCATTCCCACTGTCCCGAGACCCTCCCGGGACATCCATCCCATATCCCGAGCTCTTCCCGGGCCCTCATTCCCATTGTCCCGAGCCTTTCCCGGGACATCCATCCCATATCCCGAGCTCTTCCCGGGACATCCATCCCGTATCCCGAGCCCTTCCCGGGACATCCATCCCATATCCCGAGCCTTTCCCGGGACATCCATCCCGTATCCCGAGCCCTTCCCGGGACATCATTCCCATTGTCCCGAGCCCTTCCCGGGACATCATTCCCATTGTCCCGAGCCTTTCCCGGGACATCCATCCCGTATCCCGAGCCCTTCCCGGGACATCCATCCCGTATCCCGAGCCCTTCCCGGGCCCTCATTCCCACCTCCCCCTGCCCTGCCGCTCCCCGCCGTGGGCTGGGGCCCCTCTGCCCTTCCCGGCGCTGGGAATTGCGGCATTCCCGGGATTCCCGCAGGACTCACGCTGGGGACGCGGCCGCTGGCGCAGGTTCCCTCGGCGTGCAGCTGCCGCCGGATCTCCCAGGCGAAGATCCCGGGCCGCTCCAGCTTCAGCCGCGCGATCCGGGCCACCAGGGCGGGGGTGGCCATGGGGGGCTTGCTGCCCCCCGCAGCCTTGGGCCCCACGGCCCCCGTCCGGTAATAGCGGCGCAGGATTTTACTGACGCAGCCGTTGGACACCTGCGGACACCACTTCAGCCTCGGGGGTGTTTGGGGAGGGGGAAGGAGCCCCCCGGCCCCGGCCCGGCCGCACCTTGAGGCTGCGGGAGATGTCGGAGCTGCGGGCGCCGCTCGCCGCCAGCGCGATGATTCTCTGCCTCTTGCACGTGGGGAGGGGGCGGCCGTTCAGGAAGAGCCCCCCGAGCTGGTTCACCCCTCTGGGCCCTGGGGAGGAGGACGGGGCTGGGGGGGCAGAGGGGGCTGCCGGCTCTGCCCTCCCGAATTCCCGGGACAGCAGCGGGGAGGGGGCGGGAGCCGAGGGGCTGGGGAGGGGGAGCTGGGGCTCGGAGGGACGTGGGGCTCGATGCTGGGGGGTGGGTGCAGGCAGGGAATGGGGGCACCGGCCCCAGGAAGCTGGAGAAACAGAAAGCGGGGAGAATTTGGGAAGGGCAGGGGGCCGGGAGGTGAATCGGAGCCGGGCTGGACGCGTTTGTGCCGGAGCAGGGAACGGCGGCGCGGCACATCCCCCGTTCCCACCTCGGTGTTGCATCGTGGAGAGGCTTCGGGGGGCTGTGAGTGCCTGGGAATTCCCAGTGGGACGCGGGGAATGCTCCGGGATGGGATAAATCAGCGCCGGTGTCCAGGGCTCAGCCACGACCCTGCTGCGAGGGGAAGGGACACGGGCAGGAATCCGGGAGCGGGCTGGAAACACTCGAGGGCAGCTTGGGAAGTCCTCGAGCTCCAGGCACAGGGGATAAAGACCCGGAAAAGAGATCACAGGGCTCTGGAGAGGCTCGGGAGACGCCGGGAGCGCTGCCCGTGCTGCCCGCGGCCACGGGCACGGAACGGAGCGGCGTCCCAGCGGCCGCAGAGCTCCCCTGGGCACCCCACGGGGGACAGCGGGGTCCCCACGCCCACCCCGCCCCAGCCCAGTGCCGGCATCCACAGGGAATGGAGGGTTCCCCACGGCCACCACCGTCCCAGCCAGCAATTCCCAATTCCCAATTCCCAACATCCAGCCCTGTCCTCTGGCACTGGGAGCCATTCCCTGGCTCCTGGCCCTGCAGCCCTGTCCCAGTCCCTCTGCAGCTCTCCTGGAGCCCCTTCAGGCCCTGCAGGGGCTCTGAGCTCTCCCTGGACCCTTCTCCTCTCCAGGGGAAAGGATTCCCAGCTCTCCCAGGCTGGCTCCAGAGGATTTCCTGGCAGGATTCCCGCAGGGACACCGGTGCCGGTGCCTCTCCCCCCTGAACACCTCGGGCATCGCTGAGCACCTGCGGAGCCACAGCGGAGTCACCGAGCCTCGCCAGAGCCCCCAGTTCAGCCGGGCTTTCACCCGGAACACCCCAAAACCCCCGGACATCCCAAGTGTGGGGCTCTCCCTGCCACAACCCCCAAATCCCGCCTCTCCTCTTCCCTGCACAGCCCGAGGGAGTTGTTTGGCGACACCGACCCTCGGTGAAATTGAGGAAAAGCGAAATAAATCCAGCAAGAGGGACGAGTCCGCAGGTTTCCCGCAGGTTTCCCGCAGGTTTC